TTCCCTCTTTCCTAACGACCCTGTGTGTGTGTGTGTGCGCGTTTTTTGGCTATGCGGTCCATTCATTCTCCGCATTGTACCATATGTTTCGATACGGTATCAGAGACCACATTCATGCTGCAATCATCATTGTTCGATTCTGCTCCGTGGAACCTGGTCGGTACAGTTCTCTCACGTATTCCTTTCTGTAATGCGTGAAAAATAAGGACGCAAGGATTAAAAAACGGAAAACTAACTTTAGATGTGTTGAGCAATCAGATTGGGTTGTCCCGCTCATCTAGTATTATCTTTCGGAATAATTGAGCGATCTTTAAGAGAACGGGTCTGATATCGCCCACATTGACCACTTTGATGCCTGTCACTTGTTGTTTGTTGAGAGTTACAAGAAGCCACAAGTATGGGAAGTCGGAGGTGCGTTGGTCGGAGCTTCATCTCGAGCAGTGATCGCCTGTGGGCTCTGGCGGATTGTATGCTTAGTTGGGCATCGTAGATGAAGTCGCCATGCTAGGTTCTGTCTGTCCTTATTTGGATGTTTTCGCGTTCCAACACCTATTTTTTGCATGCCTGACTTGTCAACCACCATGCGCGGTTGCAAATCGCCTTTCAACCTGAAATTAATAATCAACTGTGCTGAGAAGCCTAGAGGCATTGTACAGCTGTTTTACCGGGAACCCACGACTTCTCGGCTAGTGGTCGGACGGTGCCGTTCCGTGTCGAGTGGCCGATCAACATTGTGACTGCCTTGCACTTAGGATATGGCACCTTTACCGTTCAACCACAAAATCCACGTCACCCGACCAGGAATTGGGTTCCTCAGTACAGCATGGGTGGAATCTAGCTTGCAATTCACAGTTGACGATGCTTTAGGAAGATGGGATAATCTGGGCTTGCAGTTCTGCTGTGGGGAGGTATTTCAGGGACCCGGACTCAGCTGCACACAGAAGCATGGATCACTTGAATTCTAGTGTTGGTTTGCCTGAATGAAACTGTTGGTTGAAAGCCTCTGATACTCTGGAGTGCACACATCGTCCTCCAACTGGAGACATCACGTCTTTACTCGCCTCATTAAATCACCGGAGGGTTTATATGCCTGAAGTGATGGATTGCATGAGGTCAGTTTGAGACACGATCGTTTTTATCAGTTCTAGGCATCTTAATTCATAAAATGTTGTGGCCTGTAAACTTTTGGGACACTGTCCTCAACAATACGATAACATTTTTGAACGCATTTTCAGACTTGCCTTGGTGTTGTCGATAATTAACTCAAGTTTCACATTATGAAGGTAACCGACCAAAATGTGAGTTGATTGCTCAACTTCTCGAAGTTCCGTTGCTCGAAGGCTTATAAGGCTACGGTCCCGATAGGTTGATTGCCTTCTAACGGGCCTGGATTACGGTAAATGTCAGCTTCGCCTGAAACTTAACACTCAAACTGGATCATATTCCCCTACCTCGTATATTCTAAAGACTTTCCCCGTGTGTTTGAGGTGCCTGGTGAGCGTGGATAGCCACATCAACACTAGCGTATGGGCTTGTATGAATTAAGGGACTCCACTTGTGAGTGCAACGTTTGAGATCCTCACTAGATCTGTCGCGTGATTTCCAGCCTCCTGTTTTTGGGAATTAGTAAAACAAGTTCCCCCAGTGGTTGTAGTGCGCAAGGAAACCAAGTTGCAGTGAAGATGAATCTCAATATCCAGATAGTTAGAGACTGCGCTACTTTTGTCCTTAGATTTTGCATTACCATGGTTCTAGTCGGTCGTATATCGATTCATCTGTAGGACTCGAACGTGTCCGATTGCACACTGTAAAAATTTGGCCATAAAGCTCCGTTCTCGAACGAGCGACTGAACGGCTTCCACTGGTATGGTGTCTCGCGTTCCTTCATCCGGTTCGCCGAAAGTAGTTGGATGTGTTCCATGGACAGCATCTTCAAGTTTTCTGTGGAGCCAGCAAATTACGAGTGATTAGGAGGAGTACAGATGCTCTCAGCTAATGGCATTTATCCACGAATTCCCGAAAACTTCACCCACAAAATGGGAAACGTTTTCCATGACACGTCTGTGGGATGCCATCTTTCAAAAGGCAAAGCCTGTGTGACCCTCACCGTAGTTGTTTTGGCACTCCCAGTAACTAGAGTACTGGTCATTTTTTTTACCTATCCATAGGATATGCCGAGGAAGTAACCACAGGGATCTAAATTTATCCACGATTATATTCCACAAAACGTGAACTGTCTAATTCATTTGATTGTTTGCACTAGAGAGTTCGAACGATATCCATCGGTAACTCCGGTCACCAACAGGTAATTTTTAGCAACAAGTCTTTGTATCGGTTCCCGCATGTCCAAAATGCAGATCAGACGGAATCGTGGGGCGTGATGGGGATGTAGTTATAATTTATTCGTCGAGACATCAACTATTCTCGCCTGAGTAGTTTATCGCGTCTACACAATGTGTTGCGACACACAGAATGTCGTACCAGCTGAAAAGTAAGGTGGCCTGGTGCAGCACGTTACTGAAAAGTAAGGCGGCCTGGTGCAGCACGTTCAGTTGAGTGTGAACATAAACAAGTGATTCAACTGGGTTCTCTCGTGTAACTTCGGTTCAAGCAGAACATGAGTTGACGGATACTCGAGGACTGATAAGCCCCAAGAAGGACAAATCTGTCGCAGACTGTCGAAGTGTTTTTACCAACCCTATAAGTGGTGCATTATATCCATAATGGTGATCTGGTTTAATGGACACAGGTCGATTTATTGGCGGTGTCTGTGGCAACAAGCAATCTGAATCAACTAGCGAGGGAATTGTCTTGTGAGAGAAAATCAGCATGGTTGGTGCTCGTTGCCGAATTGCGCTGTTTAATGTGGTTGTATACACTGAAGTAACGTTTGGACATATTGCCATTATGGAGAGTGCTTTGAATGGATGGGAACTGAAGGTAGATGCTAACGCGGAGTGGTTACAAATAGGTTAACTCCAATACACAACCATTACTTCCCACTAAGTTTGACCAGCACGTTGCCGGTTTGGAAAGACCTATGAATCCACGATTCACCAAATGCCGTTTTTACCCAAACACGGCAGGACTGTCTACGGGGTGTTCGTCTTCGAAAATGGGAGCAAAAAGTGGGTGAATTTCGGAACCTATTCGCATTTAGGTCTTTGAAACATCGGGAAAATGGGAGAGTCGTTTTTCGAGGCATTTAGCACTTATTTCGACTGAGTCTCTGGAAGACGGGGGCGTTGTTAATGTTGGCAAGTGTAGAGAGCCGAGCATAAGTGATGTGATGTCCACCATATAAGCCAGACATGCTATTGGCTAAAAACCAAGGAAGCATATGGTACCATTCAGGAAAACGCTGTGGTAATGTATCTTTTCAGACAGGGACGGTAGTGTGGTACCGCCCTACTCTGCCGCTGTGATTGCTCTTCATTAGGGAAGTACTGGTATCTACAGGCTGGTAGTAACTATATTGGCTGATAGCTTCGACAGTTTTAAAGAGTCTAAATTCCTGTCGCTGGCCACTTGTTGACGGTGAGTATAATCAGTGAAGCAGTATGTGATATTAAAAAAAACATGATTCCAAGTACCTTCTAACAGGACGGGTGAGATAGTCCTGCATTTATCTAAGTCAGAACATAAACAGATGTGTCCCAGTCTATCTCTCGGAGGCCGGGAAGGATACTTTCATGTGGGTACAGTGCATCATAGAATGTCCTAGATTAGATGGATCATAGTCCGATACATGCAGCCCATACACTACAAGGGTCAGTTCTGGTGTTTTACAGATTGAAGCTGCGCCACCAAGGTAAATACATTAGAAGGATGAATAGCGACACCGCTTTATTCATCGCAACTAACTATGGCCGCATCCCAGTTAGCACAGATGGAGAAATTTTTTAGCAGCATATCTGCACCCGGGCGCGAAAATGAAACAAATTTCTCTACCCAGCCAGCAGCCTGGTGCGGAAGTGATGCACTAAAACAAAACCACTTAAGTCGGTCGACAGTTTACACTCCGTAGGGACACGGAAATGCAGGGTATTGTGGTTTTTTAATACTGCGAGACAAATAAAGAAGCTTTGATGCTTCTTAAATGTCGCAATCTCTCGCGGCTTAAAAAGTGGACATTAGTGCGGAGGTTCTGCACCTAAACGCGGACGCGTGCTAACTGAGATGTTCAATATCGGTTTTATTTTCTTCCGTGCGTGTTCTCTATGAGCTTCTTTGGAGCAGTATAACCGACCGCTTGAGTTGTTTATTTGTTCCACTCACAAAAGCTTTCGCTGTCCCTAAACACGGCCTAGCAGTTTCGGGTTTTCCACTTTATATATTGGCTCAGGTTCGTGATATTCCATGACGTGCCTCAGTAAGCCAAAGAGATGCATTTGGCGAGGACGTGATAATCATAATCGCCAACTTGTCAAGTTGTAACCAATGAGGGGTCTCGTTCTGATTTAAATGCAGAGAACTTTCCAGGCTTGTTATGGCCCAATGGTTCACCTGGCCAGATGGTGTTTTGTGTGGCTTCGCTGCGGGACATATCCCCAGATCGCTGCCAAGCCCCTTGGACTGTCTTTCTCAGATAGCATCCACGTGAATGACTCCATCGATAGACCAAAATAACAGCCTTTCATTGGCGCGGATATCGTTGGTGACTCATATTAAGCGGATCCTGTGTAACTAAAAGCCCAGTAAGTTTGCCGGGACAGCACCGGATCTTTAAAGCTGTAAGATATCCTTTCTGAATTACCTTTGAACAAGTAAGATAGACTTCTGACTATTTCACCGTTCTCGGCGGCAGAGTGGACTACCTACCCCCGGGACTCCCTAGAGGGATGTATGTAGGTCTCCCCACTTTTCTCGGCCTGCGACAACTTCGTGAAACCATAACATTGGAGTCGTGGATTTGTTCACGACCGAAGCCAACACAAGAACCCTTTGAGTTCTTAGCCATGAACACACGATTTCCGACTAGTCCATTTGAGGGAGTAAAAATCCCGCTCACCCCCACTTTCCTCGGCCTGCGACGACTTCGTGAAACCATAACATTGGAGTCGTGGATTTGTTCACGACCGAAGCCAACACAAGAACCCTTTGAGTTCTTAGCCATGAACACACGATTTCCGACTAGTCCATTTGAGGGAGTAAAAATCCCGCTCACATCCACCTTCCCTGTGCAGTCTTATGTCAGACTAGCGCTAACTCCCTATTTTTGGGGACCTTGCAGTCACCAGCCGTATACTGTTAATTGCGTTCACAACGATGGGCTACTTCCTAACGGTCCTGAGAGTCGCGCTCACGGTCGCTGAGGTGAATCCGAACCAATGTCCCTCCAAAATGCCCCAGCACGTAATTAACTCGCACATGCTGACGAATTGTATCATGCTGCACCTAAATTAATGACCGAACAACTCGCCTGTCCCAAAATTACTCACCCTAATTAGCATTACATCTTCCCTCCCCACGCGAGCCGATCCACACCCAATCACTCGAGTCAGTGTGTGGTAATCTTACCTATTTTTCAAAGTCACATCACACCCAGAAGTTTTTGTGTACCCACCATTCTGCCCAACCTATTTCACGAATCCGCCGGAAAAATCAACTGAAATCCACTCCGGTTGATAAGGCCCGGTACAAGCTACTCCCTTAGCATCAGCTTCAATTCCTCCTCCATGGTCTAAAAAAAGAAGGAACAATAATTCCAATGGGCTGTTCTTAAATTTAGAGGGTGAAGGGTCAAGCTCACTTCTTGTCCGTTCCATTGAAAGGCCGTCCGGATGCATCATCCTTTCATGCATGTCAGATTTTGGCAAAGCGCACAACTAGCGCGAGCCCTTCTAATCTGCGGGGTTACTTCCAAATCTATCCACCAGTAGCAATCCCCACCGGATAACAAGTATTTTCTTGCCGCATGTTGGCAGCCACACTGTCCATCCACGGTCATAATTCTTCCATCATAAACTCTTCTCATAAAAGGCATACCAGTACTTTGAGCCAACCAAACTATTTGCCAAGGGAGTCGCGCTCGCCCGATCTACGCAAATCTGCATTGCATTTTGGCTGAGGTACCGGGCACTTCGTTTCATTCTCACGCCTTTGTTTTTCTCCAGGGTAAACGCAAGCTCACCGGAGACGTAGATGGTTCGTAACCATTGCCCCAACTTTGCAGCGTCTAATAATCTGAGCCTTTGGTGGCCGAACTCGCCGAGCAGCGTCCTTGCTCATAACTATCTACCCCTATTCCTAGCACCAACACCCCCTTTTCACCTGATTTCCTGATTCCTCATAGCTCTTCCCTTAGAGCCAGGGATTTCTCACATTCTGATAATTTGTTTGTCGTCTTCCGTTGCTCACCCCCGGTAACGACTCCTTTTTTCAACCAACTTCCTTGCCTCCCGTTATTAGGATACTCAAACTTTCCGGCGCTTAGAGGCCTTAACTTATTGACAGCCCGTTGGACGATTTCGATGCCCATTGAGAATCAGGTTTTGATCCCATTTTCATCTGGGCTATCCTCGGGAACTCACGGCATACCTGAACAAAGATACCAACTTCCTCGCTCAGTGGATGTCAGCCGCCACGCTTAGACTTGGTCTTCACCAAGGGAACCTTCTTGTCAGATAACGCCACTGAATTTTAAAGCACACTTGTGCAGTATAAACTTCGCCAAAACTGCCTGGTTCTTGACACAAAGAATAGTTCCTCTAATTTCCAGAACTCTCTGGGAATAATGAAGCTGGAAAATTAGTCCTCATTAAAGCGCTGCGACGTGCCACAGGATCAACCGCCATCATTTCTTATGCACTTGAAGAGATCACAAACCGGCGAATGCATATACCCAAACCACACTTTTGCGACGATTATGGATGCGGTTTATGCCCACTAAACCCAGCCTATACAGGTATCACCGTGTTCGGTTCCCGCACAGACTAATGTCCATTACTCTACAGGCTTTATTTACAAACCTATTCATTTTTTCCGTACTAACCCGATTGCACGCAAAACAGATAAGGCTGAGGGGCGAATGCTTCACGTGCTTTCTTCTGAATCTGTAGGCAGAATCACGGATTCATGGACTGATACACAGGATCGAGGCTTTTGCCCAAGTTTCCCGGGTCGCTTTTGTTCTTGTTGGTCAGTGGCTGTCGTCCACCTGAAAGGCACAAGTGAAAAAGGGTGTAGCACTGCTCTTTATTTTCTCGACGCGGAGCAGTATGCTGGCCAGCGCGAGGATTCGCATAAATAAGTGTCTAATAGTGTTTTAAACAGGGTTCTAGAAGGAGCGTGAACAACCTCCAAAGGAAGGTCATTCCACGCACCTACTACTCGAAATGAGAAAACATTTTGTCCAATGAATGTGTGTGCTCTGAGCTTGAAAATCTTACTATTTCCCAGACTGGTGTTTGCTTGGTCAACGGTAAAAAACCTGTTTGCCAAACTTTGTTCAAAAAGGACATAAGTAAGAATTAGGTCCCCTCGGAGGCGAAGGTACTCCAGGGGAAAGAGATCGAGCATCGCGAGACGCGCTTCGTAGTCCACGGATTTGAGACCGGCAAACAATATCGTGGCGGCTCGCTGGACACGCTCAATGAGGGTGACGTCTTTTGTCCGTCCTGAGTGGACAACTTAGTTGGTGTACTCCAGGAGCGGTCTGACGTAGGCGCCAAAGAGCGTTTGGATTTCCATGCCAGTAATACGGGAGAAGGTGCGTCGGATCATCCGTAAAATGACGAATGCCTTTTGGGCCGACTTCTTATGGTGTAGTAAGAAGGACAAGTTCGAGGAGACCCAGATGCCCAAATCCTTTTTGGCATCTATCCTCGTGATGTTTTCTGGTCCTTTCTCACCATGCATAACAAAGGTATTCGCTGAGTCTCCTCCGAACAACATATGGACACACTTTTCGTCATTCAGAGGAATGTGCCAGTCCAACGACCGCGTCTACATCCATTTGGAGGGCACTGACATTGGAACTCGGGGATTTCAAGTCGTCCGCAAAAAGTAGACATACTTGCAAGAACATCTGGGAGGTCGTTGACGTTGATCGGAAACAGCAGTGGTCCCAAGACGGAGCCTTGAGGAACTCCAATGGAGACCGGCGCTGGAGAGGAATAGGTTGAGCCTATTCTCACTCGGAATGACCTGTCTGATAGGAACGCCTTGATCCAGCGAAGGATTTTCCCTTGAATCCCGTAAGACTCGAGTTTGTGGAGCAGCGGGACGTGTGGGACCCTATCAAATGCTTTTGAGAAGTCGAAAAATGGCATCCGATATGAGTCCTTTGTTTTTGGCTTGGGTTAAGCTGTCCATAAACACGAGCATGCTTGTCACGCGAGAGCGGTTTTGGAGAAATCCGTGTTGATCTGGAGGTATCAGGTTGCTGGAAGTTAGGTGATCTAGGATAGCTCGCTTCAGAATGAGTTCCATCACCTTACATGGCACGCTAGTGGGCGTTATGCCTGTCGCTGCCAGGCGACAGTCAGCCACCAGTTTGTAGATTGGCGTGACAATCGCTTCCTTCCAATCAGATGGAAGGTGGCCCTCGTCAGGCGACCGGCGAAACACTAGGTGCGGATGATTTGCCAGTGTGGAGGACGTTTCTTTCAGTATCCTTGGATGGACCTCTTCGGCACCCAACGCCAGAATGGGTTGATCTTGTGCAAGAGTTGACGAATGTCCTCCGCCGTGAAGACCAAGTCAGTTAGAGGCCGTTCGTTGTTCCGCCTTGACAAGAGTGAATGTGACGAAGACGCTTGGGCTGAGTATAGACACGCATAGTGTTCTCTGATGGCTCATTCGGCTGTTTTCCGTTTCTGTCTCGCAAGGAGAACTTGGTGGCTTGTTTCTGCAGCGATGTCTCATGTATTTGAACAAGACGTTTTTGTCTTTTCGAGCGAGGTCCAGAATGGTGGTTTGTTTTTGTATGTTCCATTTGCGGATTTCTGATTCACACCGGTTCCGTATTTTACGAAATGCAAGCTCATTTTCTGTATCCTCTGCAGTCAACTTTTTGAAAAAGAGTTCGGATCTTTTTTCCAGAATTCGCCGAATCTTTTTCTGGCAGCCTGCGGTCCATCCGAGTGCGTGCTGGTTTTTTTTGGACGAACGTCGCATCAGCCTCGTCAACTTTCTGGACAATGATGTTATGTAGTTCTTCCACTGGAGCTGGTCCCGGTGTGACCTGTTCAAGAAATTTACGCATTCCTCAGAAGTCTGTACGGCAGAAGTCTCGAAACCACGTTTGAGGTTTGGGATTTCTGGCCCAATAGCAGACGAAATCAAAGGTCAACACGCAGTGGTCGCTGTCCCAGTGGAGCGCTAATTGTTACCTGATGAACGAGGTGCCTTTCGTTGGTGATGACCAAATCCAGGAGGGATGGTAGTTGGCCTGCGCGGTATCTGATGGTTGCAGCGACATGTTGGGTCCAAGCGTTCTGTCGAAAGACTTCAAACGGCGCCGCTGCAGAAAGTCCGCCTTATTCGACGCGCTGGAGCTCCATCCAGGAGGCCTTTGCGGCGTTGAAGTCACCTACCGGCAGGAGATGAGTGAACTGGTAGTTGGAGGGGAGTTGCTCAATTTTTTGTATGAGGAGTTGATCATCTTCAGGGGGACTCAAAGTGTTACCGTAGACCACGCCGAGAAGGAGAGAATCGGACTCGCGCAGCGGGATTCGGACCCACAGTGCATCGCAAAAGGGTGCAGGGGTGGTGTCAGAGAGGACAATCGGGATTGGTAGGGCTGCATGTAAGTACAGAGCAACTCCACCTGCCCGCCTTCGTTTTGAGTCGGCCCGAAAAATAGGGTAACCGTCTATCGAGATATCCGCGGCATAGACACCTGGTGTGAGCTAAGTCTCTGGGTGCGATGATGGGCGGCTTTTCAAGACAAGCTGACTGTTAAACATCGCCGAGTTTGTTGAAAAGGCTGAGGCAGTTTGTGTACAAGCATTTCAACACTGCCTCTGCTGCCTCCGAGGTTGAGGAGCCGAAAGTTGACTGACCAGGGTGGTTAGCAGACTTAATATTAGTGCACCAGGTTTGAGTCTGAGTCCAAGGCTTCAAGAGGGCCTCTGGGGCGCTGTCGTCTGCTTCCTGTCTTCGCGGTTTTTG